ATGGATGGATGGATGGATGGATGGATGGATGGATGGATGGATGGATGGATGGATGGATGGATGGATGGATGGATGGATGGATGGATGGATGGATGGATGGATGGATGGATGGATGGATGGATGAATGATGACGGATAGATAGATAGATAGATAGATAGATAGATAGATAGATAGATAGATAGATAGATAATAGATAGATAGATAGATAGATAGATAGATAGATAGATTGATAGATATGTATGTGTGATCATACCTCAAACAGTACGCCAAGCACGGCGAGGCCGTGAGGTTGGTTTTGAGCCATCGATATGTTCGGGTACGAGCTGTGGTAGTGTACGAGGTGCATCTGTAATCACAAAACGAAAATTATTGCAAAGTCATCACTCTACTTCAGATCGCACACAGATAGACAGACAAGACATACACTCACGCACGCACGCACGCACGCGCACACACGGACACGCACACGCGCACACACGCACGCACATTGGCGCGCACAGACTGACGGACGGACGGACGGGCAGATAGAACAGACAGACATACACACACGCGCACGCACGCACGCACACACGCGCGCGCACACGCATACACACACACACACACACACACACACACACACACACACACACACACACACACAGAGCGAGAGAGAGAGAGAGAGACAGACAGACAGACAGACAGACAGACAAACAGCGCAGACGACCCTCGCTCTGACCTAGCTAGCAGCTAGTTTTACTTGCGACTAATAGTTTATGCGCTATCATGACTGCTGGACATGAAAAGATCCATCCATCAATGCGCCCCGCCTAATCTCCCTACCAGACGATTATTTAATTTTGTTCAAGCGCGGGGCGAAAGTATGCGCGCATCTATTCTAACTAACTGCCCCGACGGGGGTAAAGAACCGAAAGTGGAGCACGACGTGCAAAACGCGTTCATTGCGGATCTATTAACAACTCCCGCCGTCTTGTGTTGCTCGCCAAACAAGTCGCAGCACGTAGTAATCACCCGCCGGCTAGAAAGTGTTAAGGGCAAGAAGTGTGCGCGCGGTTAAGATGGCGCGCGCCTAGGCTTGTCGCGTCACGTTAAGGTCAAAACTAAGCTGTCTCGGTTTTTCGCCTGCTAGCTGTGAAATTCCAAGGTGGCTGACATAAAAAGACGGACGCTAGCCCAAGGTGCATTAGAGGACGTGCGGAGCGCGTTGTCGCGAACAAAATTAGTCACAACATGACGTTTTTATCGTAGACCGGACCTCTATACACTCATATAGGAAACTTTATAATATTTTACCGCCGACGGTCTATGAGAAGAAGATCATGTTAAGACTAAAATGTTGCGACTGATTTTGTTTCTGAGAATGGGTTCCCGGATCCGATTGTCCCGCCTTAATTTTGCCACGTTATCTCCCTACGACGCTCCATGGGCCGTTATAAGAAACAATCGTAGCTCCCCGATAACCATTCCGTACTGTCACAAGGCGAAGGCGAAAGTTACAACTGAGCCATTACGATATGATTACGTAGGTGTACCATAGTCGAATTGTAGTTGTGATACAGTTACACTATCTTTGAATTATGGTTGTAACGAAGTCATAATATATTCGCCACACACGTTAATTCTAATATAGTTGTAACATAGTTACAATATTGTGTGAATCCGATTTCACTGCAGTTGTAGTAACGTGACACTATAGTTATAATTAATTCATGTTACACTTTTAATTACACTTAATCTATGTAATTATATAGTTTTGACCGTGTTGGGAGTTAACCCGTGATACCTTTAGTACTACTACAGTTGTAGTAACGTGACACTATAATTGTAATTACATGGTTTTAACCGTGTTCGGAGTTAACCCGTGCTTACCTCTAGCGGGTACTGTTTGCCATTGATGAAATGCTCTGAGCCTGTCCTCCTGTCACCTCCCCAGTGGAAGTGCAGGCTGTGAGGGATGTAGACGCCTGGTAGACCACCTGCCTGCGTCGACAGGGATGGCCGCGGGTCCAGCGTTGCCACGGCTACACGAATAACATCAAAAATGCCAATATTAATGGCGATGATAATTATGATGATGATGATGATGATGATGATGATGCTCAAGCAATTCTCTCAATCCTAAGTAAAATTAAACTGCTTTTTAAATAGTAAATCTGATATATGTTGATAAGATAACGTGAATCACCGAACATTTTTTATTCTTTAAAACAGAGGCGACGGCTCACCGTGACCACATTCCTAGACTAACATATCCTGTCATATACTTTATAGACCCAGAGCTCATTTACTGCCACGTACGCCACCTGCGACAAGGACACACATATATGCACGCACACATGCACGCACGCACACACGCAAAAGCATGCGCACATGCGTATGTGTGTATATACATATACATATATATAGAGAGAGAGAGAGAGAAAGAGAGAGATAGAGAGAGAGAGGGGGGAGGAGGGGAGAGAGACAGACAGATAGACAGACAGACAGACGGACAGACAGATAGAAAGATAGATCGATAGATAGACAAATGAATTAGATGCAGAATCATCCTCATGATGACGATGCCCCGAGTGCTTCCCACACACCCGTGTGTCCGTTATTCGTCAGATGGAATTCCATCGTCTGCGTCTTGAAGTATCCGTTGAACTTGAATTCTCCCAGCTTGGGGTTGTACTCTTCACCCTTAATGTCGATCGGTGATTGGTTTTCTCCTTTACAGTCCGGATAGCCAGTTGACCAGAGGTTCGTTTCTACACCAATGACAAGCACCACGGCAATGACAGGATAACATTTATGATTATAGTATATGATGGGGTAGGATGCTCTCACTGCTGTAGAATATCATATATTAAACTGTACTTCATATAGATGACTAATATATACATATATATATATATATAATATGTAATATATATAGGGTTAGGGTTAGCGTTAGGGTTAGTCAGAAATAGCTAAACGAGCCAGGTCAAACAGAGGTCAGGGGGACATAGACCCTACGAGCGTTAGTATATATACAATGTGTACAATGTATATATACAGTGTATATACATATATACAGTGTTACACATTGTC